TATTTAAGATTTTATTTTTAAGTAAATCTGTACACCCAACGCAGGCCTTGAACTCATAACCCTGAGATCAAGAGTCGCACCCTCTTCCGACTGGGCCCGCCAGACGTCCCACATTTTAAAATTTTTTTCAATGAAGTCGGTTCCTTTCGGAATATCCTGTGGGTGGTCTTGGATCCCAGCTGTGCCAGCAACGGAAAGTCGAGTCTGGCTGTGTTTTCTTAAAAGCCCCCGTTTGTGCGAGTGTGTATTTTGTGGTTCATTCCCTTCCGTGCGGTCCGCACAAATCTGAGGGTTTTCTCCTGCAGGAAAAAGAAAAAAAAAAAACACCTCTTTCTTTTGCAGAAAGAGGTTGCAATGCTTTCAAGTAGCTGGCAGCTTCCTGCTTCCCGCTGGTTTGAAAGGGAATGTTCCAGAAGGAGACCCTCGCTGAGCCGCCTCCTGGGGCCACCTTTATCTTAAACTGCCTCATGTGCCAGTTCTGTCCTCTCCCAAGGCTTTAGTAGGAAACAGCTCATTCCGTTTTTTGTTTTTTGTTTTTAATAGTCAGGTTTTGTTTTTAGTTGGGAGCTGGGGGCTTTTCTGCAGACTCAGAAAACGCGGCCGTAGAATTGCACAATTTCTCCCTGGGATTTGGGGTTTTCCGTGAGGCCCAGCAGGCAGCGATCAGAGGGCATTCCTGAACTTGGGTGTGTTTTATACCTTCCTTGGCAGCCCCCGTCCTGCAAGCCGGACGGGAGGGCGTATTGGGGTTCTTTGCAGCCTGGGGATCTCCAGCGCTCCCCTCGGGAGAGGAGAACTTCCTGCACCCGATTCAGCACACACGGGAGCTAACGGTGGTCCGCGTTTCCTAGGTTTTGAACTTGAGGAGGAAATGTGCGTGTGTGTAATGATTTCCCTCCTGGCCACACTCCACCGGATCACAGCCACGTGGGCAGAGTCCACCCGCTGAGCCGCCCTGCACCCCTGGAATCCGGGGTTTGACAAACAGGATGCGGCCCGTGCTGACTTTTCTCGCTGCACGTGGTCTGGTTTTCCTCTCGAGCTTTTTTTAATCTCGTGTCCTCAGTGCGCTCTGTGTTTGGCACATGAGGCCGCCTTGGGCTGGCTGCTGTCGGCCTCCCCGCGGGCCCGCGCCGCCCTGGCCCCTTTTTCCAGTTCCGCGTTTCATCCCGGTCCGCGTAGGAGCCGTCGGGAGAGACGCCACGCTCCCGGGGGAAAGACGATGATGAGAAATGAACAGTGCCATTCGCCCATGAAGCAGAACACAGCGGGGTACCTGCCACAATGTGCATGAACTTGGCAAAAATGTTGCCGGGTGACGGCAGCCGCCGGACACAAAAGGCTACATTGTGCCTCATCCTAGTTGCACCCAATGTCCCCAGTAGACAAATCGTGTACCAGGAAAGTGGCCCAGGGGCTGGGGGACAGGGACGGGGTCGGCAACTCGTCTTTGTCAGGTTTCTGGAACAGAACGTTTTGCCAGGAAAGGGCGTCTGTAGACTTAGCATTTCGCAGACTCCTGATTTTGGGCCTGTTTGCTTTTCCTTAAATGAGGGGAGTCCCCCCCCCCCCCCGCCACCCGGCCTGGGAAGTGACAGGGAGGGAGTGTAGGGATCAGTGACCGTCACCCGGATGCTTGCAGAATCCCCTTCCAGAACGTATGCTGGAGGCCAGATTTCGGAGCGCAGGCCCTGGCTGGATCCTCAGGCGTATTCGCACACCTTGTCCCCCTCCCCGCCCCCTGCCACGGCCCCCGTGCCACAGCCGTCTAGGCTCTAGCCAGGGTGTCGGCCACCCTCTCTTACCTTTGCAGAGCCTCAAAGTCAGGCTGAGAAGTGGGAACACTTTCTATTGGTGCCGATGTGCACAAACACTTTTCCTCTACACTCTTAAGTGAAGTCCATGGGGCTGTGCAAATTAGACTGACAAAAGACAGATTCAGCGAGGCAGGTTTTACATGGTGTTAAAATTCTTGGTGCCATGAGGTTGGGGGGGGCTACATAGAAAGAAGAAAACGGACCCAATGCCGCGGTTAGGCTTGGGAGTTTGTATACTATTTTCTTCACACACACCAGTGAATCGTGCAGATGTGACAAGAGACGGGAAAAGAGGTTTGAGGCGGCCGAGGGCAGCACACTGGGGGAAGATACGTGTTTGAAGGAAAGTATGCACAGAAGTAGGGACGTCGTTGGCGTTAATCAGGTCCTGGCCGTTATGGGCCAGATGTGAGCTCTTTGGATTATGGCAGAGAGGGTGGTGTCCCCATGTGCCTGATTTCGCGGGACCTCTGAGCTGGTTCTTATAGGCGAGGGCGGGGTTTCCCGGAGGTCGTGGGTCAGGGTGTGCTCTGTCCCTGCTGATGGTAATTCTTTGGGGAAAGAAATGCAGGCTGGCTGTCGTTCCCGTGACATCTGTGCTGTAGATTCGATGTCATCTGGGCGCTGGTGGGGCGTCTGGAGTGGTCTCGGCGTTCAGGTGCCCTGGGCCCTTCCCGCCGGGAGCCCCGGGGCAGGGGCGCCTGCAGACAAGGCAATGCGGCCTTTGCAGGTGACGGAGGACCACACCTACATGTGCACCTTCCCCAACTCCGTGCTGCACAGGGGGGCCAACCTGACCGTGAACGTCACTTGCGACGGGGACGTGTTCCTCCAAGTCCTGACTTTCGCCAACCCGGGTGAGGTCCCCGTCAGCTGCGGACGCGTGGTTCCCGGCCCGCCCGCGGGGCACCGACGGATTTCGGGCCGTGTCTCCCCAGGCAGGGAAGGTTCCGGAGCCGTGAACTTCTCCTGCCTCATTTACAACGTGCGCTTCATGAACTGCAGCTGGGCGCCCGGCCCGGCCGCCCCGGCCGACGTCAAGTATCGACTGTTCTGGGAGTCCAGGTGACCGGGAGCCCTCGCTGCGCCCGGGACCCGCGTGGGGGTCCTCACGTCAAGTGCTCAGCCTTTGGTTCAGGGCCCCAGGGCGCAGGGGGGCGTCTCCCCGAAAGGTCCCAAAGTCACCCAGGAGCGCGCCCACCGTCCAGGCCCCTGAGGGGGGGGGGAGAACCGGGCAACTTTGCCGCGTCCTGGCCCCAGCATGCAGCCCCCCTTCCCGTCCTAGGGACGAGGACATCCCCCATTTGGACACTGAATGCTTCACGGAAGGGGCTGTAACCCCCTCGCTCTGCAAAGGGCGGGCCCCTGCCCGTGCCTGCCGCGTGCCGGCCGGTCGCCTGGGATGCACATCGCGTTCTGGTTTTACGAGGATTCACAGGCGGGCCTGCCCTCGCCCCCCTTGCACGTGACAGGCATGAGGCCGACGCGGAATGCGTCCATTACATCCTTGGCCCCACGGGGACCCGCGTGGGCTGCCATTTCGACCAACTGGGCAAACCCCAGAGGACGGATAATTACTTCTTCTTGGTGAACGGAACCAGCAGGGAAACGGCGATCCCGTTTTTGGATTTCACTCCATTTAAGGCCGTTCAAATCGGTAAGTCGCGGCCTCCCTCGCCCTGCGTTCGGCTCGCCGTCCAAGGTGACCGGTGTCTGGCTGCCCCCGGGGGTGAGGGGGATGCTTCTCTAATACGTGTATTTCTTCCAAGAGGCACATCACAGCCTTCTTGTGCGTGGGAATACAAAACAAGAAAAAAAAACTTCTCCTCTACACTCTTAGGTTATGTGAGCAAGGATTGCAAATTAAACTGACAAGCACGCTATTAGCGGGAGAAAAGCATACAAATTTAATTTTAATTCTTACTTGCCTGCAGGGGGGCCTTCATAGAAAAGAAATGGTCGAGGGCGCCTGGGTGGCTCAGTGAGTTAAGTGTCCGACTCTTGGTTTTGGCTCAGGTCATGATCTCACGGCTCGTGGGTTCGAACCCCGGGTCAGGCTCTGTGCTGACAGTGCAGAGCCTGCTTGGGATTCTGTCTCCATCAATCTCTGCACCCCCACCCCCCACACTTGCTGTCTGCCTCTGTCTCAAAATAAATAAACTTAAAACAAAAGACAACAAATGGGCTAAACACGAAACACTTTGTCGTGTTTCGCTGCCGTAGAGAAGTACGATCCACCCAGGAACATCACCATCACCTACAACCGGTCGCACCACATCATCCGGTGGGAACATCCCGAGATCCGATTCGACCTTTCAAGTCACATGCTGTATTACGAGCTGGACATCCAAACGCCGGTAAGAACCCACGCGTCCGTGAACGACCCACACAGCGCGTGCTGTCCCGTTTGCCCCTGGGGCATAAACCGCGCGGATTCATTTTTGGTCTTAAAAAGGAACCTCTAGGGGCGCCTGGGTGGCGCAGTCGTTTCAGCGTCCGACTTCAGCCAGGTCACGATCTCGCGGTCTGTGAGTTCGAGCCCCGCGTCGGGCTCTGGGCTGATGGCTCGGAGCCTGGAGCCTGTTTCCGATTCTGTGTCTCCCTCTCTCTCTGCCCCTCGCCTGTTCATGCTCTGTCTCTCTCTGTCCCAAAAATAAATAAACGTTGAAAAAAAAAAAGTTTAAAAAAAAAAAAGGAACCTCTATGGAGGCACCTGGGTGGCTCAGCGGGTTAAGCCTCGGCTCTTGCGTTCGGCTCAGGTCAGGATCTCATAGTTTGTGAGTCCGAGCCCTGCATCAGGCTCTGCACTGACAGCATGGAGCCTGCTGGGGGCTCTCTCTCCGTCTGTCTCTGCCCCTCCCCTGCTGTCTCTCTTTCTCTGTCTCTCTCTCAAAACAGATATACTTAAGAAATTTGTTTATAAAAATTTTTTTTCAAGTAATCTCCATGCACAACATAGGATTTGGTCCTGAGCACCCCAGACCCCAGGACCTTTGCACAGACCGCTGCCTGTGCCCACAGGCTCTGCCTCTGTCCCCAAGTGTGAGGTCCTTCTCCGTCTCCACACTGAATGAATGAATGAATGTTGGGAATATCCGTACACGGCCCCCACACCCCACAAGAGTGCCTTCCTGCCCACGGGTCCCGCCACAAGGCGTGATCTGTCGTCCGCGATCTGTCCCCGGGTGTCCACGTGTCCACGTTCCCGAGGCCGGCGTCAGCCGCTGGCCCCGTCCCACAACCCGCAGCGCCCTTTACGGCATGGTCTGGCGCTCTCCTCAAAGGCGTGGAGGCGTCCCCAGGCCCAGCCGGGTGTGGACCCCTCACCTGTCGGCACCTTTCCAAACGGAAGTTAGGCGGTGTCCCTTCTTTCCTGAAAGTCCTCGCAAAGTTTGGGTCTTGGATTCCGGTTCGTACCCTGGACGTGGCCGCCAAGAATCTGCAGCTTCCGCCCTGCCCGCTGGCATCCTGGTCCCCAGGGCTCCTGTGCGTGACCTCACACGGGTGACCTCACACTGGTTCCTCACGGGTAACCCCAGGCAGGTGATAACACAGGTGACTGTAGACAGGGGACCTCACCCAGAGTGGGCCGTGGGCCTCTGACGTGGTTAGTCCACGCCGGACATCTGAATGTTCGGACAAGATGCGACCGTCAAAGTCGCCTTCTCGTCCCTCACACCGTCCCCAGGACAAATTCACCAGCCAGCGGTAGAGTCACAGCGACGGAACTCGGTGTTGAAGTTTCTCTACCCTCTTAAGCGCTGTCCCTGGGGGCTGCGAATTAAACAAAAAGCAGGGGCATCCGGGTGGCTCAGTTGGTTGAGCGTCCCACCTCGCTTCCCTGGAGAAGGAATTTCTGATACATTCGCTGTCCTTGCCGGAACTGAGGTGTCCCCACAGTGGGGTCATACGGACCCTCATTCCCGGTCTTTTCTCTTGAGCAGGTAAGGAAGCTCTGACAAGGCTGCCTCATCCCTGTCCAGGAGGTCCAGGCAGGTTCCCACACTT